ACCGACCCCACTAGTGAGGTGTGCATCTGAAAGTGATCCGTTCACGGTTAATGTAGAAATGAATGCCCACAGAAGATATCAAAAGCATTGGAGATTTCGGGTAAATAAGGTAATCCCCAATTCACTTTACTGTTCTAAATCCGCGATGCTTGACGTTGTATTCTCACATACATGAACTAGCACAACTGCTTGCTGCTGCTGCTAATGCTACTGCTGTTATATGAACAAGACATGCTTAGTAATTACTCCTCACGCGAATAACCTGCGCGTAGTTTTACAACTTGTATGTTTTCTAGTTTAAATATGTAAATCTGATGAACGCAATAACAATCGAATAATGATTTAAAATAAACTCCTGTCAGGAAATTTACTGTTACAATTGCCCCTTCCCCCTCTTATCTTTTTGTCTTTGTTTCCCACAGGTAGCAGAAGTCTGCACGGTTGTGGACATGTGTTGACACCAGTCGAGGCTTTTCGCATCAAAAGCAATGCAGCCCTGCGATTTAACAAAGCACATGCTCAGCTACACGGCCGTACACAGCAGGTCTTTGGAAGTTTGAAAAGCCGTTTCCAGTGCCTGCGTGACATCGGCTCCATTCAGTCACCTGAGTCAGTGGCATGTACCATCAAAGCCTGCTGTGTCCTGCACAACATCTGCAAGAAGTTCTCCGTGCCGTTACCCTTGGATTTTAGTGTAGAGCCGCTCCATCCACCATCAGAGGTGGTGAACATCATGGCAGAGCAGCCGTTTGACTACATGGAAGACACTAAAGATGAAATGATAGAAATGTTTTTTAATATTGCAGAGGATGAAGGCGAATAAGCTGTGACCAGATTTAAAAGAACAGTTGTGATAGCAAAAAGCCAGAAACCATTACAGTTTAAACCATGTACTAAATAATGTAATTAACAGAGACAAATGCATGCCAATGCCAGTGATTCTTCACATAGTTTTGTTCAATTAATCAATAATTGATTAAAAGAAGTTAATGCTAATAAACTAATATTTGTCAACAAGTGATATGAATAAAAACAAACTGTTTATGGAAGACTTAAAATAATACAAGTCTGTTACAAGAAATGGTATTGCAGTGGTACCATAGCTCAGTGATGCTGTCAGCTGTTAATATCATGGTACTTTCACATACAGCACAATAGTGAATAATTATCATATTTATATATACACCAAAAGAGTTGCCATGGTTGTGTCTAAAAACATGTATTACAATGGTACCACCATGTCCAGAAAAGATGTTAAAGGGATAGTTCACCCAAAAATGAAAATGTGATGTTTATCTGCTTACCCCCAGGGCATCCAAGATGTAAGTGACTTTGTTTCTTCAGTAGAACACACGCGAAGATTTATAAGTCAAACCGTTGCAGTCTGTCTAAGGTTCGAAAAACACATTATTTTCCACATTCTGTACATTATTGTTTCTCCTCTATGCCCCGCCTTTCTGAAACGCGTCGATTTTTACAAAGCTCATCGTTCTGAAAAGCGAGGTGTGCTCTGATTGGCCAGCTATCCAGTGCGTTGTGATTGGCGGAATACCTCAAGCGTGTGACGAATATGTTACGCCCCTTACCATACTGTTGATGCCGCGGCCGCGGCCTTGAGTGAGCGGAGGCCGGAGGCCTAGAGTGAGCCGCGGCCTAAAGTGAGCGGAGGCCGGCTTGAGTGAGCAGAGGCTTGAGAACGGCGCGGCCGGCGGATTCGACGAAGGAGCGTCCGGCGGGCTTGCGGCAACCACATGTGACGACCCCGGGCTGGACTCCGCTTCCTCTTAACTTTTATAAAGAATATCTCTTTGAATTTGAGACTTTAGTCTTTGCAACTTTACAGATCTTCTTTATGCACCAAGAGCTTGTAACACTCCAAAGAGAAAGGAAAAATTGAAATCGCATCATATGACCCCTTTAAAATCATTTTTTATTTAATTGTTTACAAATTGATTGTGGCTGGAAACATATCATGCCTGGTTAGGACATGATGTAAATGTATTCAAAAGTTACAGTTCAGTTAAATCTTCGTTTTACAAAAGTGCAAAAAAATTACATGACAGCAAATACCAAAACAGGTAACACAACACACATTATTTACCCAAATATGTGAAGGCAAATGTGAAAGTTACTTAAATTTGACTGAATGTGACTGGAATTTCACTAATGTGACCACAACTTAACCTTAAACTCTGATTGGTAGTTTAAGAAATACAAAATGTTTGTTTACACCGTTCTTTCCATATAATAACAGTTCGCAGAAACTATATCTGTGAAGCAAAACCTTTCCCCTTCTTGGCAGCTCTGAAAAAATTATTCTCTATTTTACATACAGATATGACATTATTTAAATCAGGGTACCCAGTCCTGATGTAAATAATTACACAATTATCGTCTTTAGCTGAACTATTCCTTTAAAGCATGTTATACGACAGGCTGCTGAGAATACGTGACAATGGCAAAATAAGAAATGATGGAAAAATACTTCGGTATTAACCTAAAACAAATCAAATTCAACTGACATTAAATAGACCATCTCTTATTTCAATTTTAACATAAAATTATCATTTAAAAGCAATGTGCAAAATAAGCAGCACTTAGTACAGCATAAAGGAAAGTTTCCTTTCAGAGACCACAGTTTATCAAGCAAAAATGTAATATTAAAAACAAGCCTATACACAGCTATTTAGTTAAATAAAGAGTGGCAGTTAAGTTTAAATGGTAAACATTTAGTGCTTTATGTCTTAGGCTCAAAATACCATGGCCAGTATCTTTCAGCCTTGTTAGCAGAAGAGTATTTGTATCTAAAATAATATTAATAATAATAACTTAATGGATTAGGCTTTCAGTTTTTATTTTTTGAAGGGTATGTATTTGAAATGGACCATTGGACCATATGATATGGCTTATATTTCTGTTCATATTTGACTTTGTTTGTCGTATTCTTTTAATGCTATTGCATTGACATAGATCATGTCTGAGTTTTCATAGAGAGGCTCTGACTTAGGCCCAGCTTTGGGTTGTAGACTATCCATGATGCACTGGTGCAGGAACACATACTGAGACTGTAAGAGACAGAGAGATAAGCATAAAACAGATGAAAGTAAAGAGTGTCTGCCAGGAATACGCATTTCCTTATTTCCAAGTGATAAAATTATTGCCTGTAATTACATAACATGTAATAATTATAAAAATACAGATGCCATCCTGTTAGAACAAAGAATGTCCTTTTAACTCAAAATAGGCATACCTTAAGAACATGCAGATAATGTTATTGTACTGCTGTGAAGTCTTAAAACCTAATTGTAGAATTAGCAGTAACATAACTGTATGTATATATGGAATAATGAAAGAAAAACTTGGGAAAAACAGTAAAAGAATATTTCTTGTATTTCTTTGTTTTATTGCTACTAGTTATATAAATTAGTGTTTTCATTTCATGTTATTTTGGTGTTTACTGATACTTTAATCATTGGCATGAATGCAAAGAATGCCGCTTTTGATAAATTTCCAAAAGCACAGTGGTTTATTAGTACATAAATGTTTAAGTAGTTTGATATTTTTGCATTATTCCATGATATATGTGACCCTGGACCACAAAACTAGTCATAAGGGTCAATTTTTCGAAATTTAGATTTATTCATCATATGAAAGCGGAATAAATAAGCTTTCCATTGATGTATGGTTTGTTATGATGGGACAATATTTGGCCGAGATACAACTATTTGAAAATCTGGAATCTGAAGTTGCAAAAATTCAAAATATTGAGAAAATCGCCTTTAAAGTTGTCCAAATGAAGTTCTTAGCAATGCATATTACTAATCAAAAATTAAGTTTTGATATATTTACAGTAGGAAATTTACAAAATATCTTCATGTAACATGATCTTTACTTAATATCCTAATGATTTTTGGCATAAAAGAAAAATCTATAATTTTGACCCATACAATGTATTTGTGGCTATTGCTACAAATATACCCCAGCGACTTAAGACTGGTTTTGTGCTCCAGGGTCGCAAATGTGGTTACATACTGTAAAATATATAGTCTGAGATGGAATTTTTACAGTAAAATTCTGGTGACCACAGCAGCCTTTTTTTAAGTGTTTGGATCCTCCAGGAAAAAAGCTAGCCATAGCCCAAATAGGCTATATTCATCATTATCAAAATAATCGCCACAATAATAATACCACCACCTAGAACCCAATTCTACGCTAAATTGCTCTAAAAGTAAATCCCCTTTACAATTATGCATCTAAATCAGCGTTACCTCAGTTTGCACCATTAGTGGCCGGCTGAGTCTCATTTGCTTGACAAACGCTGCAATTCCCACTGCCTTCTCTTTGTGCAGCTGCTGTAGCAGGACGTCCAGCGCTATCAGGGTACCTGTCCGGCCTACTCCGGCACTAGTGTACAGAGATGGTGACAGAAGGATTAAAACTTTGCTTTATTTTGTCAATGTAATTATTTATACTGCTTTGCTGTCAGCTCTCAGCAGTCGACTGACTGTGATTATTCACGTTAAGTTAATATTTGAATTGGGTTTCAAAGTGAGTAGTGGTACACCTGCAGTGTACAATTGTCGGCCCTGCAGAGAAAGAGCTCTCTATGTGCTGACGGATGAGTCCTCTGAATTGGATCAGCTTCTCTGTGCCAGCGGGAACACCGTGATCCGGCCATGCTGTGAAGTGGAAGTGCCTCACTGTTCGTGTCTCTGAGGTGTCTTTCTGTTATAGACAAAAAATAGACAGAAATAGATTGTGTCTTAGGCTAATCTGACCAGTGATGTGCTAATATATTCATATTCTAGTTAAATGGCTCATATCAGAAGAAAGCAGAATACATGTTTCTGAATACCAGATGAACTAATGATAAGAGTATAATGTGGTAAAGTCTGTCAAAGCTTGTGCTGTTTCTCACTGTGTGTAGCACCTACAGCTCTGCAGATCCTGCTGAAGGATCCCAAGAAATGAGTGGATTATCTATATTGAATAAGATATCTAAATATTAAATTTTTCTATAATACTGTATGTCACAATGTGATAATTACTATGTGAAGAGGCAATTAAAAACTATCCACTTGTTAACTGTCATCATCACTTGTTTAGAAATCATGCGTCACCTTTTCTGGTTCCAAATGCTTTATCATATCATAAAAGCAAACAACAAACAGTGCTAAAATACTCTCGCAGTGTGCTTTAGTACTACCGAAAAATCACGATCCTGATAAATATGACCTTAAATCACTGCCAGACCGTGATTAATATTTTCTGAATTGTTAAAATATTGGTGTATGGAACACCATGAAATTTAAATATTTTAGCTTAAAAGTGTGCTATTAATAAATAGTTAATCATAAACAGCTGTCAGGGCCAGAGAGAATTTGGATGAAAAATAAAGTCACAAAAAACATGCAACTGTTTTTGGCACCCCCAAAAAACACTAATATTTATAATCATTTCAGACAACATTAAGCAGTCTGGCATGTTGCTCTGAATATTATGTTTCATTTTATTGTCATTAAACAGAAAAATAGAAATATTTCAGCTCACATTTTTTACATTAAATTCTCGCAGAGTCCAACTTGGAAATGTATCCTCCGATTTCACTGTAACAAGCAGGTTCCCATAAAGACATGGCGTGTAGTCCAGTGGCCAGTATTGCTCACACTTGACCTGGAGAAGTTAAATCAGAAAAGTTAAATCAGAAAAAAATCAATAAAAATGAATTCAAATAACTGTACCAAGTGCAGAGGTCAAATCTGATGTAGCAAGCTAAAAATTATGCAACCAAACCACTCTATGTGAAATACTGTGTTATTACACGAAATTGGATTGAAAATGCCAAACAAACATTTTTTTGAATTGAACATCACGCAACAATAATGTAGCATAATACTGTTTCATACATCACTACATAATGTATAGTTTCATATAGTGTTTAAAAAAATGGAAGCCAGTAAACACTTGAAACTACAGTAAGCAGAACTGAACTTTGCCTTACCTTTCCACTCTCAGTGCAGTTGGTTACCATGACGATGGCCTGTGACCTTTTCTCCCAAACCATGCTCCAGAAGTCATTGACAGTGGATGGCAGTGGACCTTGAGCAGCGATATACTGTCTGCTTGCATTGCCGTAGCCCTGATATGCACATAAACAAATGTCAATCCACCAGGAGCACTTTTCTCTGGAGATACAAGCGAGGTAGTGCTTTGTGTTATGAATTACAGCTGATGTTAACTACTATTTAACGTACTTACAGGCATGTAGTTAGCATTGATATAATCAGAATCACCCTCATCATTTGTGGTGAGATGCACTCTAGAGGAGTCATCTTAAAGACAGAGAGGAGGATTTTCCAAGACAGACACTGTGCAGTAATTGTGTGTGTGGTCCTGGTATTCCCTACATTATGGGGACCAAATGTCCCCACAAGGATAGTAATACCAGTAATTTTTGACCTTGTGGGGACCTTTTTTAGTCCCCCATGAGCTTATAAATCATACAGAATGAAATGTTTTGAAAATCTAAAAATACAGAAACTTTTGTGGGGTAGAGTTAGGGTAAAGGGATAGTATAAAAGGTAAAGGCCGTATAAAAACCATTACATCTATGGAAAGTCCAACACAAACCAGTGTGTGTGTGTGTGTGTGTGTGTGTGTAAACACTTACAGGCTGAAACATTGGAAAATCGGTTTTTGTCCTTGTTTTCAGGCAGAAGAGCTGCTATACTAGACTGTTCTATACCAACTGAACTCAAGTCCTGTTAAAACATATTCAGTAAAAACATACTCAACAAACGCTCTGAATATTGAGAATTAACTTGATGATTCTAACATATAAACAGGTTGGCATTTTCAATATTAGTTTTAGTTCAATAATAGTTTTAATGCCACTTAAAATTCAGTCAGAGATAAAAATAATAAAAATGTAATTTCATATTTGATAAACCCTACCTCATATTCCTCACTGAAACCTCTATTCTCATCACGACTCATGTTTTGATAATATTCAGGAAATGTATCCAAGGGAATCGGTCTGAAAAACATTTCACAGTTTACCTTTGTATATATATATATATATATATATATAGGTCACTAAAATAACATCATATACAGTGGCCCCCAAAATGTAGACACTTTTGGCATACACAAAAATAACATAGCATTAGATAGCAAAATATTAATAAAGCAAGTGCATTTGTGTATAAAAAATACTGGACATGACACTTTCACATTTTGATATCCAATCACACAATTTCACCTAAAGTTCACCGAAAACTGAAAATTCTGTCATTGTTTACTCACCCTCACATCATTTCAAACCTGTATGCTTTTCTTTCTTCTGAAGAATACAACAGAAGATATTCTGAAGAATGTTGGTAACCAAACAATTTTGGTCATCACTGAGCTCAATTGCACAAAAATAAGACATTTCTCAAAATATCTTCTTATATAGGTTCCACATAAGAAAGTCACTCAGGATTGGAAATGACATGGGGAGAAATTTTGAGGTCAGCTTCCAAATGCTTTGCTTTGGGCCACTGTATTTTACAATTTTCCAAAATAATAGAGTCATACATACTTGTAGTTTTTATTAGGCACTTTTGACTCCACAAGTGGGTTTCGCATTCTAAAGATGTGAAAAGACATTAGAGATAAACCCAATACAGCTTATATTGCATTATATTATGAAAGAAACCCATAATCCCAGACAATCAATCAATAAAAATCATACTTATTGTGCTTTGCAGAACCATAGCACCGCCATGAAAATACAGCAACACAAATAATGATGACCAAGAGGAAAAACACAAGTACTCCTGCTATAACACCTGCAGAAAACAAAAAGAAACAAACACTGAACATGTCAATGCAATGTTCAATTTATATAAATAAATACACGATTAAGCTCTATGCAGCTGAAGCCTATGAGGGTTAAAATCCTTCAGAAATCATTCTTATATGCTGATTTGCTGCTCAAGAAACATTCATCATTATTGTAATGGTTCTATTATTATCAGTGATGAAAACAGTTGCCCTTCAGGAACTCGAGCTGTGTCTAACGCTTTGGGAATGCCCTGGCGAGACCACGTTCTGAAGCATGTGTGAAATCAGTCCAATAGCGAAGCGAGACGTCACGAGCGGGGTGACGTTAGCAACCAGGAAGCATAAAGGCGCATCCGACAAGCGCATCCGACAAGGGCACATGTTAGCTTCATTCTCTTCAGCGAGCGCGCCTGTGGTGTGTGTGTGTGTGTGTATGCAAAATCACTCAGTCAGTCAGAAATGTCTCTGTATAGCAAGTGAGAACAATGCCAAAGTGTAAAACAAAATCAAATGTGGCGAGCGGAGGGCATTTCAAGTCGTGTGTTCCTCCCTGCCCACACTTTCGGGTGGGGATACACATGATTTGTGCGTTGTCTGTTTGGTAGCGGAGCATGCATGGTCAGCTCTCGGCTGTTATTGTGGGGATTGCAAGTGGATTTAGTGGAGGGATCCGAGACGGGCTCGTCCTTATCTCGGTCCTCATCCGCTAGATCCATGGCTCCCTCTCAGAGATCGGAAGCCCGCCCCGCGGTTTCTTCCCTCCGGAGAGAGAGCCAGACGCTTCATCTATCTTTATCCTTCCTGATGTGATGAGCGTCGACATGGAGGAGACTGTGGACTTGCCACCACAGTCTCTCACGTATGAGGAGCTTGTGGAGGTTGTGACTCGTGCTGTAGCCAAACTGATCGTGGCATAAACCACATTCGTCCCACAGCCCCACAGTATCTAACTACTCTAACATCACAGAGCTGAATGAAAAGGGATCCCTCCTGGATGCCCTGCTATCGCCTTCTGGCCTCTTCGGCGGCGCAGTAGACACTGTCGTCGAGAGGTTTCAAGAGGCGAAGAAGCCAGCGCTTTCTCCCTCGCCGTCCCCAGGTCTTTGGGACTGCTGAGTGGGAGCCGTCCCAGCCGTCTAGCTCTTCATACCGCCAGACCCAGAAGCAGAGCGTTGTGACCCGTACCCCCCCACAGAAAGAACAGGGGGCGGGGGTGGGGGCGGCACTCTCGGTCGGGGTCCTCTAAACAGAAAGCGGATCTGCGGACCTCAGGGTGCTTCACTGATACCCCTGCCACCCCCCGGTGCGTCCGGGCTCAGGAAGCTCCTGCGAGCAAATTTCCCAGTTGCTGCACGGCGACGATACCTGCCGGTCATTCGCTTCAGGGCTCAGAAGTGGCTCCTCTAGTGACACCAGAAGCCAGTCTCGAGAGACTTGTTCCCTTAGTAGACTTTCTGATAGTGTGGAAACTTCTGCCAAATGTCTCACAATGGGTTCTGCACACTGTAGAGAGAGGTTACAGAATTCAGTTTGGTTCTCGTCCACCTCGCTTCAACGGGGTTATCCCTACACTAGTGGGCCCCGAGCAGGCTCTGGTATTGGAACAAGAAGTAGAAATTTTCTTGAGGAACGAGGCCATAGAACGCGTTCCTCCTCTTGAGAGAGAATCAGGGTTCTACAGCCGTTACTTCATCGTTCCGAAGAAGGATGGGGGGTTGCGTCCGATCATAGATCTGTGTCTACTGAACCGTGCTATCAAACAATTTCGGTTCAAGGTGCTTACTATCAAACAGATCATGTCCCAAATCAGGTCCGAGGACTGGTTTGTCACGATAGATCTCAAGGATGCATACTTCCAGGCATCCATCCTTCCTCAACACAGGAAGTTCCTGAGGTTTGCTTTCGGGAGCGAAGCATACCAGTATCGGGTTCTTCCATTTGACCTGTCACTCTCACCCCGCACTTTCTCGAAGTGTGTGCATGCTGCCCTGGCTCCGTTGCGACTCCAGGGCATCCACAAACTGAATTACATCGACGATTGGTTGATATTAGCTCAGTCAGAGCAGATGGCGGCTCGGCATCGAGATGTCGTCCTCGTCCATATGAAAGAGCTGGGGTTACGGCTAAACGCCAAGAAAAGTGTACTACAGAGAACCACTTATTTGGGTGTGGTGTGGGAGTCAAGTCAAGTCACCTTTATTTATATAGTGCTTTTAACAATACAGATTGTGTCAAAGCAACTGAACAGCATTAATTAGGAAAATAGTGTGTCAATAATGCAAAATGACAATAGTAAACACTCATTTTTCAGTTAAAGGCAGTTCATCATTGAATTCAGTGATGTCTTCATTCAGCTCAGTTCATAGTATCATAGTATCTGTGCAATCAAGGCGACGATATCGCTGGAAATGAAGTGTCTCCAACTAAGCAAGCCAGAGGCGACAGCGGCAAGGAACCAAAACTCCATCGGTGACAGAATGGAGAAAAACCTTGGGAGAAACCAGGCTCAGTCGGTGGGCCAGTTCTCCTCTGGCCAGACAAAACCAGCAGTTCGATTTCAGGCTGCAGCAAAGTCACATTGTGCAGAAGACTCATCTGGTTCCTGTGGTCTTGTCCCGGTGGTCGTCTGAGACAAGGTATTTACAGGGGATCTGTATCTGGGGCTCATCTAGTTGTCCTGGTCTCCGCTGTCTTTCAGGGCTGTAGAGGTCCTTTCTAGGTGCTGATCCACCATCAGTTGTTTCAACAACGATGCAGGCACAGTTGTCTCCTGATCATATCGAAGCGATTCTCACAGCCATGAGGGAAGTGAGAGAAGGCCAGTTACTCACTGTCAAAAAGTTTCAGAGACTGTTGGGTCTGATGGCAGCTGCGTCCAACGTGATAACTTTTGGCCTGCTGTACATGAGACCCTTGCAGTGGTGGCTCAGGGCCAAGGGGGAACCCGCTTCACACGATCAAGGTCACGCTGCAATGCTTACATGCCTTAGAAATGTGGAAGAAACCTTGGTTCCTGTATCAAGGCCCGTCGCTGGGGGCTTCTTGTCGTCATGTAACACTAACGACGGACGCCTCCCTCACGGGTTGGGGAGCGGTCATGAGTGGTCTGTGGGAAGGCCATCATCTCACGTGGCACGTCAACCGCCTGGAGATGTTGGCCGTGTTTCAAGCTCAAAAACACTTCCTTCCAGACCTAAGGGGACATCATGTGCTTGTTCGCACAGACAACACATCGGTGGTCTCCTACATTAGGGGTTCTCAACCTTTTTTACTCAGGGCCCCCCCTCCTTCTCCTGTTAATTTTGCACGGCCCCCCTATGCCTGACATTTCCTCTTATACTGTACTTCCAAAGCAAAAAGAAAAGTGTTTATTTTTAGCCTTTTTTTATTAACCAAAACATTTGTTATGCCTTATTATTATTCTACCGCATTATTTAAAAAAACCTCAAAATTCAAACAAGATTTCTGCTCTCACTCTCTCTCTATATATATATATATATATATGTATATATATATATATATATACATATAGAGATTTAAATCTCCTGAATTCTTTACTTCAGACATGCTTTACAACTTCAGAATACTTTTTCTTAAATAAGTGAACCTGCCATAACAAACAGAACAACAGGGAGATGCCAAAAGAACACTCACTAAACCTGTCCCTTTGAACTGGACTGACTGAATATCTACTGTTTGCATCCATTAAAAAAAATAAACATACAAATGAAAAATACAGCAATATACATTCTAAATCTGTTGAAACACATCGATCTGAAGGCGGTTCGATGAAGACGGGATCAGTGAACAGTTCCTCCGTCAGAGCGCGTCTGATGCTCATATGTGCATAAACACCACTGAGCCTCACAAGATCATCCTCTATGGGTGAGCATCCATTATAAAACACTCAGGATATTAATTTGGACAACTATGCAAATACATTGAAATTTCACAAAAATACGATAGGGATCAGAGCCCCGAGAGAGTGCATAGTTTGTGAATCAATAATGCGTGCCTAATGTACGACTCTGATATACAGGAGTGGCATACATTAGGCACGCGCAAGTTCGTTATTATTACTCTAATCATCTTTACCTTTACATTAGCGCGATGGGAGCCGAATGCAGCCGAGAGATGTAGTTTGCATGCAGCGGTTGGAAGTTTTGAGCCGCCGTTCAGTCTGTATTTAACAGTGCAATGAGGCTTGCTGCGCAGAGTCCAAAGCAATCAATCAAGAACATGAGAGAGGCCGTGCTTTGATCATTTTAATTGAACACATTAATAATTAAATTAATTATAGGATAATATTTAAATTAATTTTAAGCCATCTCGCAGCCCCCCTGGAGGATCACTGCGAGATGGCCACTGCTAGTGGGCCACGACCCCCCCCCCGGTTGAGAACCCCTGTCCTACATCAATCGGCAGGGGGTTCTGCGCTCGCGCCCTCTTTACAGGCTCCTGTGGGCTCAGGGAAAGCTTCTATAATTAAGAGCAGTCTACATCCCTGGGCATCTCAATCAGGGAGCAGACATCCTGTCGAGACGGGCTGAGGCCCGGGGAATGGAGGCTCCTCCCAGAGGTGCTGGAGCTCCTTTGGAGGGAGTTCGGCCAGGTGGAAGTGGATATATTTGCGTCGCAGGAAACGACACACTGTCCACTCTGGTTCTCCCTCACGCATCCAGCTCCGCTTGGGCTGGATGCCATGGTACAGACGTGGCCGAGGCATCGTCTGTACTCATTTCCCCCGATCGCTCTGCTCCCGGGAGTTCTGGAGAGAGTATGCTGGGATGGGGTCCGTCTTCTGCTAGTAGCCCAGTTCTGGCCGGCCCGAGTAAGGTTCTCGGACCTTGTGTCCCTCCTCGATGGCTCTCCGCTGGAGATTCTCATCAGGAGGGACCTCCTCTCTCAGGCGGGGGGCACCATCCTTCACCCCCACCCAGAGTTATAGAAGTTATGAGCGTGGCCCCTGCGGGGGCACAGCTCATAGCATCCGGTCTCTCAAGTGAGGTTGTTGAGACCATACTCCAGTCCAGAGCTCCCGCCACTAGGAAACAGTATGCCTTGAAGTGGAGACTTTTCACTTCTTGGTGCGGACAGCGACTGCAAGACCCAGTCAACTGCCCAGTTGGTTCAGTTCTGGAGTTTCTGCAGGAGTGATTTTCCGCAAGGTTATCTCTTTCCACTCTGAAGGTTTACGTGGTGGCCATAGCTGCTTACCATGCACTTCAGGGTGGTCAGTCAGTGGGAAGACACCCGTTAGTTACACGCTTCCTCCGTGGCACCTGGAGGCTAAGGCCAGTACAGCGCACCAAGGTGCCTGGCAGTGGTTCTGGAGGCTCTGTGCAAAGCTCCCTTTGAACCCATTGAAGATATCTCATACAAGCTCCTCATGCTTAAGACAAACTTCCTGCTCGTTATATCCTCGTTGAAGAGGATAGGGACCTCCAGGCACTCACCGTATCGTGCCTGGAGTTTGCCCCGAGCATGGCAAGGGCGTTCCTTTAGACCCGGGTATGTCCCTAAAGTGCCCACTTCCTCGCCGGGTCCCATTGTACTGCAAGCCTTTTGTCCTCTTCATTTCCAGGAAGCAGGCCAGGAAAGACTCAATCTGCTCTGTCCAGTGCGAGCACTGGACTCATACGTTCACAGAGCTGCCCAGTGGCGTAAGGCAGATCAGTTGTTTGTTTGCTTTGGTCCACCTAAGAAGGGGGTTCCAGCGACCAAGCAAACTATGAGTCGGTGGGTGGTTGAGACCATCACACTGGCCTATGAGTCCTCTGGCCTCCAGTCTCCTATAAGGGGTCAGAGCGCACTCGACAGGGGTATGGTGGCCTGTGGTGTATGGTGGGTGTGGCCCTTCAAGATGTTTGTGCTGCGGCAGGCTGGTCCTCTCCGCACACATTCATCCGTTTCTACAGTCTGGACCTGACATCTACCCCAGGGTCCCAAGTTCTCTCGTCTTGATGTGCTCGGCAGATACACACCAGACAGAGACTTGCTCGTATGGCGCAGTGGGTATTTTCGTTCCCAAAGCGTTCAGCACAGCTCGAGTTCCTGAAGGGGAACGTCTCGAGGTTACTTATGTAACCATGGTTCCCCGAAAGGAACGAGACGCTGCGTCTCCCTGCCATACTTCCTGCATCCCTGCAGGCGCTCGCTTCCGCAGAAGCTAACATGTGCGCTTGCCGGATGCGCCTTTATGCTTCCTGGTTGCTCACGTCACCCCTCTCATGACATCTCGCTTCGCTATTGGACTGATTTCACACATGCTTCAGAACGTGGTCTCGCCAGGGCGTTCCCAAAGAGTTCGACGCAGCATCGCGTTCTCTTTGGAGAACCATGGTTTCATACGTAACCTCGAGACGTTTTTTTCTAATTAATGTATTGTGGAAACCACGATATACTACCATACAAAAGTCTGTGGTATAGTAAGCAAGAAAAAACTATGAAATTCAAACGTTTATTGAGCAGGGATACATTAAATTGATCAAATAAATTTATCACAATAAGATAATAAAGACTTGAATAAAGTTACAAAAGATTTCTATTTTAAATAAATGCTGTTCTTTGACCTTTCTTTAAAAAAAAAAAAGAATCCTGGAAAAAAGTATTAAGGTTTCCACAAAAATATTAAGCAGCAAAAACGAAATAATATGAGATGGAAGGAAAAACTATATTTCACTGAAAAAAGGTCCATATGACTTGCTGTATGTCCAAATAACTTGCTATATTACAAGTCTTCTGAAGTCACATGATAGCAGTTGTGTGTGGAACAGGCCATCTTGATATCCATCCTTGCCCTCCTTGGTATATCCATGAGAGCTCATGAGAGAAGCAAGATTCATACGGGTTTGAAACAACATGAAGTTGAGTAATAATGACAGAACTTTCATTTTTAAGATTAATTATTACTTTAATTTATATTTAACTTGGAATATTCCTGAAGTTTTAAGACACTATCTTTAATTACACATATGTAGACATTATTTTACCTGATGGATTTGTTTGGCAGTTGACTGATATTGTTTGACTCCTCACGGCTCCAGAAAATGATGATGCTGTCACTTTGTACCACTGGGCAGCTTGCAGGCCATTTATCTCCTGTCTTATTGGTTTTTCTGAACTATGTGATTTGTTGAAACTTTGTCTATCAACATCCACCTGCACCACATCCACAACTCCATATGGAGGATCCCAAATTACAGCCAGACCATACCCTCCAGAATTATATTCACAGCGGAGATGAGATACACTATTTGGAACTAGTTTGAGAGAGAAAAAGAAGGACAAAAAATTTAATTGAATATCAGCTGATCAGTGGCACAATCCAAACAGAGCATGTAAACTCACCTAATGTCATGCGGTGTGAGCATTGTAGCAGCCGCTCTGACTCCAAGTCATAAAACAGTGAAACAGTGTAGCTTCCTCCAGGATACAGGTCTTGCAGATTCACCCTTTTGTCATTTACAGGGTCATTTTTATCACTTCCAGTGCTGTTTTGAGCTTTCACATATGTGCAACCATTCACTTCAGCCTCTATTGATGAGTTGGTAACTTTCCAGTTAAAGGATGCACAGTTAAGGGCTGCAGAAAACATAAGAGCATATGAATGCCGATTTCAAACTGAGTTGAATTCTTACTCTTGGGGTCTTAATCTTGACATAAGTGGTACAGGACTTTAGGTAACATGTTACTGCATCCTTGTTACACGTTACATTTATTTACCGAAGTAACAACAGTAAATTATTTGTGCTGTCAAAGGATTAATCGCGATTAATCACATCCAAAATAAAAGTATTTGTTTACATAATATATGTGTGTGTACTGTGTATATTTATTACGTATATACTGTAGATGCATGTATATATTTAAGAAAAAAAAGTATATATTAAATATATATATAAATTAAATTATATGAATATAAATATGTAAATGCATGTACATATTTTCTATATATTTTATATACTGTATGTGTGTGTATTTATATATACATAATAAATATACACAGTACGCACACATATTATGTAAACAAAAACTTTTATTTTGGATGTGATTAATCACGATTAATCGTTTGACAGCACTATAAATTATGCATAATTATATGCAAGTAACCCTAAATCAAACCCTAGTCCTTACACTAACCTTATAGTAAATACATATTGTTAATTAATATCACTTAATATTTAAATATATAATTACACTGTAACAATGGCACCTTTCAGTAAAGTGTAAACAGACTTTAACTTCCTGATCTGGCCCCAACTCAGATTTAAAACATATGTTTGTTTATTATGCAAATTAAGATTAATAAATCATTTTAAAGTATGTTTCACTGTTAGTTTATTTTAACTAACGCTAACAAATGGAAGTTTACCAACATTTTTTTTTCAAGCATTTAAAACCACACACATTTTTTTTCCCTAGCAAGTATTTTTGACTAGCAAGCTGTCAAAACTCAGTTAAAACTCATACATTTGCTTTTTAAATAAGTAGCTGAATTAAAGTAATGTTATCAAAACTTACTAGTGATGTTCTTAAAGCTGTATCCTCTACTTAAGGCATTGTTCACCACAGTAAAGAGAGTAAAATTGTGTTCAGTGCCTGGTGTGAGAGATGAGTAAGTATGTGTAATCACATCACCCACAGCAGATCCAGTGAAATTTTTCTCACTCCCCTCTCCCTGACTTTTCAAGGTGTAGTTGTAGATGCCATTATTGTTTAACTTATTCCATGAGATAGTCAACTCTGTCTGTGACCGAGTGACTGTAACTCCAGTTATGTCAGATAGAGCTGTGAAGAGAACTGAACGGTTAGTAATTAATAGAAATACTGCAGCACATTCTTCACAAATGTATCACTGAGATGTGGTATGTGTCAGGGTTGTACACCATTCAGAACTGAGTTGAAAATTAATTTGAACTGAGGAAAACCAGAAGAAGAACTGTAATACAAATTTAAATTTGATTCTAACCTTAACCCATTACCTTCCAAGAAGTTGCCTTATATTAAGTTATATGAAAATAATAAGGTCAACATTTTGTGGTGCTGTGTGTGCTAAATTGAAATCTGTTTGTATGGCTTTGAACCTAAATTATGTTTAATCAGTAGAAGAAAAAGATCTAGTAATTAGCATTGATGTTCTTGTAATTATGTTGCAAATCTTGTGTTACTAATGAAATCCCTCTGTGCTGAATGTTTGTGAACTGCAATTCAGTACATTTCTTTCCGTTATTTCAGTTCAACATCCTGTGTGTTGTAATCAATTCAAATGCCAACACATGAATTAAAAGCATGCTGATTCTTACATTTTGCCCATTTTTGCTATGTGATACATTTTTTGTCTAATCCAAAGAATAAGAGCTACTTACTCGTGTTGCTATAAAAGTTGAATCCAGTACTTCTCAGATCAGCAAACTCTGTGTACAGAGTGAAGCTGTAATTTGTTGCAGGCATCAAACCTGATATATGACATGTTACCTCATTTCCTTCTGCAGTTTGATTAGTGCAATTCACTGGTGGTTCATCTCTGTTTTCGAGAGTATAGTTGTAAGTGTTGTTGTCTGTGTTTGATACAACATCCCATTGTAAGATCATGTCGGTGTCATTGTGCGTCACATTCACATTTTGAACATTTGATGGCACTGAAACAAATGCAGATATAGTGAAATATGTGTTATACAATGAGCTTGTCATTTACATGTAGATATTAGATAATCAGAAGGAAGTGCAATAATGGAAAAATGTTACCTCTACAGCACCAACTGCCAGTTTGTGACAGTTCCATGGCCAGTGCTGCACTGCCATGGGAAATTTTACATTCACAGATATTTTAAAGGGGTCATATGATGCGATTTCAAGTTTTCCTTTCTCTTTGGAGTGTTACAAGTAATCATTGCTGTTGTTGACTTTACTCCATTGTAATGTTATCTCATTCTCTTTCCGATTGATGACTGAAACATTGTCAACATTAGATGGAACTAAAGAAGAAAGAGACAGAATTTTTATATCCTTTTTTTGTAAATTAATCACATAATGCTAAACTGTCTGTAACCATAGACATTTGTCATTCACTGAACTGTCTTTTTCTAGCTTTCATTGCTAAGGAGGATTCTAGCCTACAAGCCTCAGAAGGACTAGTAAAGGAAGGATACAGCCTTCTGACTGAACATCATCCTATGTATGGGAGAAACGATGGTGGTTCTAGTAATAGTACTATGGTGGCCCACCTTCTAAATAAAAGAGTTAATCACCAGTTGATAAAGTCATTGCATCACTGGAGCTGCCACTCAGCATCATGCCTAAAAATGCTCGTTAGCTGTTCTAAATTCCCTGCAAACCTTCTTGGGGCTTATAGCTTTATTAATATCTGTTTTAGTTAGCTTACATACTAGAATAGCATGATTAACATGATAGCTTAGCAAATACATCACGCATTTGCTCTGACCCTAAATGTATTCACAATAATATTTAATATAAATACATATTAAATTATGTGTAAAAATTCCTGATAGTTCAGTTATTACAAAAGAATAATGTCCAGTTATTTATTATTTATTTACTAATTATCCATTTATCAAGTCAAAGAAATTATATTTAGCCTAATTTGTTTTGTATATCGTAAACAATTATATACATATTTAAAATCATTATCATTTGTGTGTACTTGGTATAACTATTAACTTGTAGTTGATGGAGACCTGATTTGAAGGGAGGACCCTACAGTATTTGTCACAACACTGTTTTACATATAAACCTGAAGCTTAGGACTGCACATGCACACTGGCTGGACCCACCTGAAATATATGATTTTTAACTATGTTTGAGCACAAGAAACAACATTTATGAGAATGTTTATGTCAGTTTTTGAAAGTTTGAGTTGGATAGGACGTGGATAGGAGTTAATGGCTGTCTAGTTAACAGACTTTCCTTAAAAAGGACTTCAGTTTAAGTCAATGAGGCCTGCATTTAGAACTGTCACTGGACCTTGAGCCTACATTAATCCAGAAATCTGTGGTCAGTGATTGAACACAACAGTGAAAAGTACCACGGTGCATTCTACTGACTAGACATAAATTTGCGATTTTGTAACTTTGCTTTTGTAGACTGTCTGCTATTACCTTTTTTTAATGGACTTCCAACAGACATTCTACTAACTATAATTGACTTTGCAAGTGCATGTCAGTTTATTCCACTAACCCTAGTAGTAAGTACCCTACGGCATATGGCAAAATGATTAATGGCTTTGACATTTTGACCTTTTTCCTCCCCCACGCGGCCCACCCACGTCGCGACCACCCACGTTGTTTGACCCCTGACCTCATAATGACGTCCAGATGTGAAAATTGGCATGCGTGAAATTCTGACGTCAACCTTTGAGTTCCGGCGAGGAAATATGTTGTTTGTACAAATGTTTGTAAGTGTCCGACGATGACAGGAGATAAATTAAGTCCTGAGGAATGTTTTTGAAGATTTTATGGTCCGTTCCCACATCTATGGGGTTTACCCATCTGGGGTCCGCATGCTCAGGTGTCCGGTTGCTGCCTGTTATGCTCTCTCTCTCTGTATGGGCGATGTGAGAAAAGAAGGATGTGGTGATGGTCAATAACAGAATAAATAAACAATTTTAACAGATTGTGAGATCATATCACAATGTGTGTTTGTGCTCGCCAGTGTTGGGGAGTAACTAGTTACATGTAACGGCGTTACGTAATTTAATTACAAAAGAAATGTAACTGTAATCAGTTACAGTTACTAAGAAAAAATGTGTAATTAAATTACAGTTACTTATGAAAATGTTAACGATTACAAACGGGATTACATTTGAATATTTACACACATCCACATACAGATTTAATTGATTTATTTCCCAAATTGCACTGACTACTCTGAGACATACGGCCCTATAATTTCCGCGATATGGAAAACACAGACTGGTTTGTAGAATCCAGTCATAAAAACAGAAGTCCTATAGTCTAACGCGGGCGGAATATGCCACATTTTGGACGAATAAATCAAAAGTAGGTCAGTACACTTGAATCAAAACGCGATATGGACTAGTGTCTGAGAATATTAAGCCGCAAAAAAGACAATATATGAATCCTGCACGTTCTGCGTGTCTCTGTGGAAATCAGGCGCGGACTGGCCATCGGCAGAACCGGGACAATTCTCGGTGGCCTGGCAGCCGATTTGGCTCGCTGTTTTAATATTGTTATTGTATAATTGCCTGCCGAATGTACTAAAGCGATTATATCCGAATTCGCCATTCGATAATTAAATCTCTAATAAATCATGAATCGGGGTCGCCGTGATTTTGCCAAGTAAGACATGTTCCTGGATCAACATCTTTTGATGATC